CTTGCTGACAAAAAACTTTGCCTGGCAGACAGAGGCAGCGTGCTCTTGTCCTTGCTGTTTTTGTTTTTGTCGCTGCTGTTGCAATTATTATTGTTGGCACTTTTGAGCCGACATTGTTGTTGCTGCTGCTGCTACTACTAAGTAATAAGCAACCGCAACAGCAAAGTACCAACAAAAACATCAGTTAGTAGCTACTACCAACAGCAACAACGAAATCAGTGCAGAAGTGTCGACAAACGAAAATGTAATAAAATTGTTGGCAAACTTCCGAGGCGCGACGAGTGCCAACAGGAAAATGGTGGAAAGCACACACACACACACACATCTAGACACAGCAACGGTGGCAAGCAGGTGTAATTGAATGGCCTAGACTTCCGCTTTTCCCGCATTTCCCCCGGGGAAACTCTTCCGCTTTTGGCACGAGACCTGAAGTGAGCAGCGTTGTCTGTCGCCTTCCGAAGGATTTTCCTCACGAAAATTTCATATGCATTGTGCGCGAGCATTAAATGTGATAATTGTATTAATTGCGCAATGGTTTCCCACAAAAGCCAAGGAAAACAATGTGGCCGGGACGGAAGCAAGCAATTGAGGAAAATTTAAATATCAAAAGGGAGTCGGAGATATAAAGAATTAGCTGGGAAATGACTTTAAGCATTTATCCCATGTTTAAGCACTTTAAGGTAATAAACCTACAAGAATTTTGATCAGAATTTAATTAAAAACTGAAAAACAATTTAAAATAGGGAAGCCATACTTAATTACCATTTAATAGAGGCCATCAAATGGATTTGGCTAGTTTATTACTCACTCAATGCGGAAAAGTCACGCCTGCGGACACTGGAGTAGAAACTTCAAAGGCTTACAAAAGCCTCTGGGCGGAAATGCTAATTTGATATTTTATTGACTCGGCCAAGGAAACTCGCCACAGACACTTTAAAATTAAATGCAAATTTGCCAAGGAGCAACAGACAAGTGAACCTGGCGGAGTCATTTATCATCCTGCCAGGCATAGCGATTCCTTTAAGCTTTGGTCGCGACGACGGCGGACAGTTGACAGCCTGCAAATCCTTGGAGGATAAGCAAGGCGTTGACACGGGATTACTTCCAGTTTAAAGCGCCTCTCAGCAGTGCCGAGCCTAAAGGTGGAACTGCAACTGACCAGCAAATGAGATTAAGGCAATCACAAGGCTCAAAGCCTGGATTCAAATCAGAAAGTGGTTTCGAAATTGATTGCCGTTGGGAAATCGGCAATTTCTGATTAAAATATGTAAATTTCTGGCAGCAAAAATTGAGCAAGAGATTCGGGCTCTTCAAAGGGGAATGATTACAGAGACGAAACATCTTCCGAGAGCACTGTACAAATTATGAGAAATCAAAAACGTGAAATGGAAACCAAGGCATCAGCAGCAGCAGTAGCAGCATCCTTTAGTGTCTCCACAATTTCCCTCAATGTCCATTTGCAATCTGCCATCTCAATGGCTTTCCTATCATCGGGAACCCATCTGCGAGTCCTTTCCAGCTCCTCTCCCTCCTCCTGATTGGCCTGCGCGATTTCTTGAGCGGATCAAGGCAGTGGCAAAACAAACTTATGGCCTGTCTCCATCCCTCAGAACCCTCATAGACCTCCAACTGCCTCCTAAGACCCGTAAACAGCTCGAAGCCGTTGCTAACAAGTCTAAGCCTTTGCAGGAGGCTTCTGGCCCGACAAATGATTCTGGCAGAACCGCGAGAGAGAGTAAAGAGGAAGCCGCAATAAAAACATGGAATATGATTGGGAAAAGTAAAAGTGGTAAGAGGGAGGATTGGTTAGCGATGCAATTGAATTCAAATTCCGACATTCCACTTCAAAGTCAGGAGGATGAAACCGAGACGAGCAGCTCCCACTCTGGATTGACTTCGTCTCCGGTTCCAGCTTCAAGTGAGTCCTCCTGCACATCCTTATTCCTGTTTATCCCGTTAAGCTCGTTTGCCACGGCGCCACTCAAGTGGAGTTCTTCCCCTCCTCTTCCATTTTCTTGGGATTTTTCTTCTCTTCTCTGCTCTGTTGTGGGGTTTAAATATTTTATTGATGTCATTTGGACAATACTCCTCCGCCAGTGCTCACTTGGATGCCTCTGTTCAGATCTCTTATCCGCACTCCACTCCCCGAATGTTTTATTGCTGGCTTGTTGATATTTTTATCATTCCGCCTCCCTCGTCCTCAGATTACTGCGCTTTAAGTGTTGTCCTTCGATTGTTATCCCCACTCCCATTGTTGTCCTTGTTGTGGCTTAAACGCTCAAATCAAATCAAATTTGATATGCCTCATTTGTGGCAATTACAGAGGATGAAAAGGAATGAGAGTGGAGATGGGAAAGCAAGTTGGCTTATTTAAATTTCAGTTATTGACTCACAATTTGTGGGTTAACTAAAATGACCAGCAGTCTGTTTAATGAAGTTATTCCTTGGCCACGTTCCTAGTTTCAATACTTTATGTTTGTCCAGATTGAACAATTTCCATTTTATGCGATATGCACTTACTCACTCCCCTACCCTGCGAATATTTGGAGTTTTTTCGTATTTCCAACCCAATAAGGACCTCCTGTTCATCCTGCGGCAAGGATAAAATGTATGGCAAGCATGTTCCACAAAATAAACTTTTTTCCCCCGGCACATGTGTTGGCCTCATCCCACACTGGCAGGATCTGAAGGAGGCATAACTCTGTTGTTAGGCTCGCGAGGCATTCGCAAAGAAATTTGCTCCCCATGCCGGCCGTATTGTTTTCTTTTTTGAGGCTGCCAAAAGTATGCAGTCGCAGCTGCATCCATTCTGTACAGGATTCCGAGGGTTTTCCGAAGTTTTCAACAATGGGCGACGAATAAAAAGGACTCGCGGCGAATACAATGGATGGATAATGCAGTGCGACTCGGTTTCTTTAAGCATGTCGTAAATATTTTGAACAGTTTTTGGCCCAATAATGGAATTTTTCCATTTCCTTCGAGGTTAATTTAGTTCATCTTTTACTTTTGCTTACTTAAGTTCGTTAACTTTACATAAATTTGGAGACATTTCCTCCTGCCAGTCGCAGTGCACTGCGGAAATTGTTTTGAATACTTCATTTCTGCATTTTTTCCCCCTGAAATTTATTTATTCGTCGTTTTTCTGCCATCATTCTTGGCCAGAACTTTGTCCAAGCAGATTGCACCCGGGGAGGCGGGGAAAGAGAACTGTGCGAAAAAAATAGGAAAAATCATTTCCCTTTTATGCAGATGAGTCCGGTATTTCAGTGTCCTTTTCTGTAATGAAATTGACATCTCGTGCCGCGATTCAAGCTGATTCCATTTTTGTTCCGCTCTGTTATGTTCATTTTGCCTTTTGAATTTCCTCATAAAGTACGCTTTTCTTTCACAGCATCCTCTTGCGAGAGATTTCAATTCAATTTCCGCATTTGTTTGGCTCATTCTATCCCCACTCCCACTCTAGACAGTTCTTAAGAGAATTCCAATGTTTTGTTACAGGATTATAGTTATTCATCTTCCCCACAACTATTGTATTCATTTCACCATATTATCCAATGATAAAATCGATATCCGCTGGCGACAATAATTCGTAAACTTCAATAAACCATTATCAGGATCGTCCACATCCGCTGGGATGCCTCATTAACCGTGGCAGCCCCGGTTGCACTTTCAAATGATTAAAAAGCGTAATGAAAAATGCATGCTAAAGTTTGGTGCGTTTGTGTCATTGAAATTCAAGTGACATACTGCCACGCCCACATCCCCGATTCCAGCTCTTAAACCCTCAGACATCACACGTCCGCATAATAATTAAATTGAATATGGCAATTTTACGCAATTTCACTTGTTTTTTATACCCTGACTAGGGGTATGCTAACCTCTGTTAGAATTCTGTGAGGAATATCTTAAGGGAAGTAAATATAAAAATCTAAAAGAGCTTAAGGAAAACATATATGTTTTAGCTTTTCAATCATTTAATTGATCTTAAATAATTTATTTTACATACTTTCAGAGGGTGTTTAAGCTTCGTTAATTCAGAGAATCCTGACTTCCAAGCTTTGTTTTTCACCGCTTTTATTATGGCTGCTGGTTGTTGGAAAGGGCATAAAAAATGGATACAATAAAATTGCATAACGAATAAAATGCGGTCGCTGTGAATTGGTCTTCCTTACCAGCTTCAAACCAATTGCTAGATCAGAGCGAAAAAAAAAAAAAACTGCATCCAGGTTAATTGTTTATTAATGTTTCGTATTTTTTTCGGTTTGCAAATGATGTTTGTTTTTGTTAATATTAATGTTTGACGTTGTTTGCGCGGTGTTGTTTAATTTGGTTGCTAATTAAGCATTTAACACATCATTTTTGTTCCCTGCTGATGCATTTAGTTTTTTTATTTCAAATTGCTCACTTTCATTAACGTCGTCGAGTACCTTGGCCGCCCATTCAGTTCCTTTATTTGTCTTTTTCAGATTTTTATTTAATTTAATGCCTCAGTTACAACTCATTTTATATGCTTAAATACATGATACATAAGTGTAGTCCGTGTACGAGTGTGTTTCTGTATATATATATATATGCATGTCTATAACTGTATATGATGGTATATATTATCTATATATATATATTTCGTGTCTTCATTTCAATGGTGTCCATAGCTCTGCTTTTAATTCAAATATACTTCTCATAATTCAACATTATTCTCTGTGTGTTTTTAAATTTTACGCAGTTAAAGCAACACAATTATCGCTTTTATTATTTTAGCTTAATGTTTAACATTCTGTTTTATCTTTACATCAATTGTGTACGCCTTTAGTACATCATATTGTAATTGTTTGTTTAAGATGACCAGAAGAAGATTGGATCTCATGAGCTTTTGGTAGGAAATGTGAGGTAAACAAAACAAATTGAAGCTTTACTATTGCGGAGAGGCACTCTATTACAACAAACTAAAAGGATTTGTAATTATTTGGCATTTCTTGCTTATTATATATACGTATTTATTATTATTTCTTTTACCATTTCATTTATTCTGCCTTCAAAGCTATCGTTCACTTAAATTGTAACTTTAAAATGAATCCAAATGTTGCAAAATGTCCTCAACTTGAACTCAACTGACCTATATCTACAAAAAATATAAACGGTAAAGGTAATTTCGTATTCTAAGTACTTCGATTTCCATACTCGATATGTGTGCGGGCTTAGTTACCTATTTTATTTTGCATTTAACTTGCAATCCTTAAGGCGTCTATCTGAATAAATATTTAATTGGGTGTTTGCCATATTATATGCATGTTTTGTGGGTGTCAGCAGCGTTTGACGCACGATTATATAGATAGATGTGTATTTATATATATATTTATACTTAGATCGTGTCGTGTACTATGTGATTTAACTATGAAACTTTCTCAGTTTTGAAGCACAGCATTGAAAGCAAAACGAAATTGCATTTACCCTTTGGTTGGTTTTTTTTTGTCTTAACTCCTATACATAGCTGTGGTTATGAGTGTACTATATAGATTCCCGATCAGGGTCGTGATTGATGGATATACATATGGTGTCTCATATATATATATATACGTTCGTGTTCTATATATATATGGGGGAAGGGCGGATCGTAATCAGGGTCTGTTTCACTAGGGACTATTCGAGTACATGTATGTATATAATTTCGTTATATTTAATCGCTAACTGTACCGCAAAAGCCTTATGTAGGTGAAGTGTAGGTGTGTAAACTCTAGGCTAGATTTGCTTTAACTAACACAGACTTACTCTAGGGCTAGAACCGATGGCAGTTCGGAGTGTTAACAATAGTGTCGGGATGATGACGAGGAGCAGCAGCCACGCAATGTCCACGGAGGGATTGTGGCCACCGCTGGATTCCGCATCCGCCTCGTTGCCATTGCCGGTGGCCAGCAGCGGGTTCTGGGTCTTATCTAGGAAGGATTTTTGTTCAGATAAACCGATTTCGTTCAAGTTCGACTGATATCGCGTATCTGAATGAATGGCGGGAATGGTGGACATGAAATGAAATAGAAGCACAAAGAAGCCATAGAAGTTGTGTGAGAAGGGGATAGAGTGACGAAGTGATTTCAGAAGGGTGCAGGGTTACAACGGATATCTAAGCTGTTTACTCACTTTTATCCTGTCCATAGATGGACCTCGTGGAGTCGGATCCTCCATATGCATAGTTGTTATTGATCCCATTCTCTCCCCAATGCGAATCCGTGGAATACAGACCCGATGAGGCAGTCGTTGGCGGATAGGAGACTGCAACAAAGGTTGATTTTTGTTTATTTAAAAATAAAGTATAAATTATATTCTTAAAGTAGAAAGATATATTATAAATTTATTTCAAATCTTAGGATACCTTAGTAAAAAGTTTTTAAAAATGTTTAATTACTTTCTAAGTAACAAGATTAAATAAACCTAAATAAACCAACTTTATTTTGAGATAAATATCAAGTGAAACAAGAAAAGAAAATATCTTCAGGAACCCGAAGCTAGACAGTTGCAGTTTGCAATTGAAATTTAAGATCGTATCGGAAATCGATCATAACTAAGTTTAAAATATTCAAATTTTTTTAATCAATATTTATTAAAATTTTTAAATGACAATTTTCCCCATAAAATCCAAGTTTTAAAATCTTATACCTCAGCCAAAAAAGCATACATTTATTTTCGGAAACATTTCCTATGCTATTTTTTATTAGGTTTACAAATATGCATAATCAATTTAAAATTAAAAAATTCACATTTTTGCGTGTAACCCCTTATAAAATGTTGAATTTTGAAAAAAATTTTAAAATGTATTTATTATTTATTTATTTTATTATACCCTGCAAGATAATATATTATATTTATTGATATTTTCTGCCATCATTTCTCTATATTTTCTGATAAATTTATGTATACAAATTGAATTTCTTGCTCTTTTTCCCCTATGTAATTGCCGTAAAATTGTCCACAATTGATATATTTCAATAGACAATTTAATTTTATACGGCCTCTGCACTGTATTGTGTTTTCATTTACTTTGAATTTATTCCAGTCCACATAGATATACATCACATTGATGAACAATAACAACATTGAATATTCTATTTGCTGGGAAAAGTTTTTGTTTTCATAAAATTTACATTTTTCCAATTGAGAATTTTCAGCACGTTTCATTTCATTTGTTTTGCTATGCGTGTACAGTAATTTTTCTTCTTATTTCAATTTTGGTGCAATGACAGTTCAGTTCGTTTTTTTCCAGCTCTGTATAATTTTGCATTTGTGTCTTTTCGCATTTCATACGCTTCGGTGGATTATGCAGAATGCTAATTAATATATATATTCATAATAATGTGTCAATATGCACATTTTTGCCTCCCAGAGAGTTGTTCATAATTAAAACCCTTCGACTGGCTCGCTGCCATTTCGATTTGTTGCAATTACATTTCCAGCAATGATTTTCAAGCGCAGCTATTTTGCAAAAATCAAAGCTTCTGCACTAAATTATTTAAATATGTGAAATCTATTCGGGATGACATTTAATGATGGAATGCATTTTTAAAATTTAAGAGTAATTACTATTCAAATGTCAAAATGTGATGGAGGGATTTACCATGATGAACCTATAGAACCTGTGGCATTTTGGTAAAAATAGTTCATAGAATTATTTATACCATAATATATAGTAAGGTAGGTAAGGGCAAATGAAAAATGCTTCGAAATATGTAAAGAAATATGCTTAAACTTTCGTTTTTATTTTGCTGAATATAGATAGATTGTATTCTATCCCGCCATTACGGTATCCGCGAGCATTTTCTGAAGAACTGTCTCCGCCTGACTCCGCTCTTCAATATGATCTTCAAAAGTCTTATCCATACATCGAACGCTGTCCACTTGGGTATTATGAAGATTATTATAGGCTGAACTGAGCTCTACGAGATTCTGTGCCGGTTGCTTGAATTTATCGAGAGCTTCTTCCACGGCCTTCAGACATTCTTTGGGTTCGGTAGTAGGACAATTTTCGCCAGCACGGATCAAATCCCACATGGTGTCCGAAAGCCCATTGAAGGCCCTATCCAAATCCCGATTGAAAACAATATGAAGCCAAATAAATTCATTTGCACATTGATGCATCTTCAGGAAGTAACGCTGGTTGACCTCCTCGGTGACATTCAACGCGATTTGAGTGCCTTGACCGTAATAGGACTTTGAAGCTTGTAGAACTTTATCCGTCGCCCAATACTGGCACTCCTCTTGAGCTCTGACTAATAAGCGAATGACTTCTTGCTGCTGTCTCTTCAGATCTCTGAGATTCGCATCCACTGGCCAACCAATGACTAAGGACGTCACATTTGTCACTGCTTCCAGTAGGCCTTGTCTCCTCTTCTTCTTGGTAACATCGGCCAGATATTCAAGACATCTCGTCAAAAAGTACTGGAAATGGTTCTTGAGTTCGGAACTTTGTATGGTATTACTATTTTGAAGATCATTGGTTTGATGAAGAACTAATAGAGTAATGTCGGTTTGTCTCTGATTTATGACAGAATCATCAGCCCAACTTCCGGCAAGGATCAAGAACAGGATTAGGCACGTACTTTGCTGCATTTTTCCGGCTTTGTACCTTTGCTGCCAAAGTCCAGGTACTAACTAATAGATATCTTGTTTTAAACTTGGTTAAGTATTCGGTCAATGTTTACTTAGCTGGCTCATTGTGGAATCTTACAGCACAATCTTTCAATAGTATTAACTAAATATTAGCTGACTCCGATTGTTTACATTGTAAGTTAATTGAAACTGTTTCTAACCTATATATTCCTACGTGTTGTGTAATCCGAAATATATTTTTATACCCTTACAGGGTATTATAATTTCAGTCAGAAGTTTGCAACGCAGTGAAGGAGGCACCTCCGACTATATAAAGTATATATATTCTTGATCAGGACCAACAGCCGAGTCGATCTAGCCATGTCCGTCTCTCCGTTTCTACGCAAATTAGTCTCTCAGTTTTAATGCTATCTGAATGAAACTTTGTAGTTAGCCTTCTATATACTCTCACTCGTATATATGTCGGAACGGGCCGGATCGGACGACTATATCATATAGCTGCCATAGGAATGATCGGAAAATTTTTACATAAAAATTATAACAATTTCAGTTTTCAATAGAATTGGATCAAATTTGAGATATAGCCATTTTACTATACTCCACAATTTTGCATAAAATTTATGAAAATCGGACTACTATATCATATAGCTCCCATAGGAACGATCGAGAAATTAATACAATAAATGTATAACTTTTCAGTTTTCAGCAGATTTTCATCAAATTTAAGGTATAGCCATTTATATTAGTTTTAAATTTGTGTCAAATTCATGAAAATCGGACGACTATATCATATAGGTGCCAAACAAACGATCGTTTGGTGTAGAGGAAGAATGCAAATCTGTGAACTGCAAATATAATATGTTTAGGTGAATGAAATGAAAACAGGTGTTACTTTATTGTTTTTAATCATAAATATATATAATTTATATTGTAGGGATTCCTACTCATAGAAGTTCAAGGTAAGTACACTAATCATATATTAAAAACTTATTTTACATACAAAAAAAAACATGAATCATAACTAAGCCAAAAATGCATTAATTTCAGTTTTTATTAGGGTAACAAATCTGCATACTCAATTTAAAAATAAAAAAAAAATAAAATTTTCGTCAATTTTTCACCATTTTAACGATACCCCTTATAAAAATTTAAAATTGTCAAAAAATAAAAATTTATGCCGGACCTGGCTAGATCGATTCGGCTGTTGATGCTGATCAAGAATATATATGAATAATAGGATCGGAAATGACTCCTTCACTAAGTTTCAAGCTTTCGACTGAAAGATAGGCTTTGCTTAATTATTTGGTACATAGAGCGCTCTCCTCTGCGATTCTCAAGTCTTACACTTAAGCAAGGCTCTAGCTAGAGCAAGTTTAGTTTTCTTCTTCTTCTTTTATATAAATTACTAATTTAGTGCTTGGTGGTTGATAGACTTTGATCAAGTGGATGTGGCAACCATGGCTAGATCGAGTCGGCTGTTGATGCTGATCAAGAATATATATGAATAATAGGATCGGAAATAACTCCATCACTAAGTTTCAAGCTTTCGACTGAAAGATAGGCTTTGTTTAACTATTTGGTACATAGAGCGCTCTCCTCTGCGATTCTCAAGTCTTACACTTAAGCAAGGCTCTAGCTAGAGGAAGTTTAGTTTTCTTCTTCTTCTTTTATATAAATTACTAATTTAGTGCTTGGTGGTTGATAGACTTTGATCAAGTGGATGTGGCAATCATAAAAATTATAGTTTTCTTAATTAAGGTAAGACGTTAATAAAATATCTCTTGATAATAGAAACCAAAACAAGCCCCAAAAAAGTCAAGATACATGAAAATATGGTTTATATTAAATTATTGCTTAATTACTATAACCTTGGCCGTGTTGACTAGCTTAATATTGATCTCGAAAAGTCTTCCAAGCTCTCTTTAAGAGCCGTGATGATCATGACGAGCGGGGTGGTGGTCATTTATTTGTTTATAGTAAAGTATACTTAACTCCCGAAAATAGTTTATTCAGCACAACTTACTAAACAAAGAACACAACAATGGTGATGATCGAAACTGCTCAATATAAAATATATATTAAAATAAGTTGATCTATATTTGTAAAGCGAATTTTTAAGAATTGGTATGCTTTTAAATAACAGAAAGTTCACATATTTCAAGCAATGCTTGTATATAATTTTTGCAAAAGTAATTCTTCACACAAAAACCCGCTCAAAAAATAAGTATTTTAAGCTTGCTAATATAAGCCTATTTAGGATTTTTTTCCTTGTTTGTTTCCTTTTCTTTTTTTATACCCTTGCATGGTATTATAATTTCAGTCAGAAGTTTGCAACGCAGTGAAGGAGGCACCTCCGACTATATAAAGTATATATATTCTTGATCAGGATCAACAGCCGAGTCGGTCTAGCCATGTCCGTCTATCCGTCTGTCCATCTGTCCGTTTCTACGCAAACTAGTCTCTCAGTTTTGAAGCTATCTGAATGAAACTTTGTAGTTAGCCTTCTATATACTCGCACTCGTATATATGTCGGAACGGACGACTATATCATATACCTGCCATTGGAATGACAGGAAAATTTTTACAAAAAAAATTATAACATTTTCAGTTTTCAACAGATTTTCATCAAGTTTGGGGTACATTTTATAGTAGTCTTAAATTTTGTGTAAAATTTCATGAAAATCGGACGACTGTGCCATACAAACGATCGTTTGATGTAGAGGAAAAATGCAAATCTGTGAACTGCAAATATAAATATGTTTAGGTGAATGAAATGAAAACAGGTGTTACTTCATTGTTTTTAATCATAAATATATAATTTATATTGTAGGGATTCCTAGTCATAGAAGTTCTATCTGCAAGGGTATATAAACTTCGGCGTGCCGAAGTTAACTTCCTTTCTTGTTTTATTTACAATGTAGTATAGTATTGGAGACAGGGCTTTCAACGTATTCAACCTATTAGATCCATTAACTTTTTAGGTATTATATATTTTACAACCCAGAACACTTGACTATATAATATATATATATATTATTATTCAAATTTTCTAAGCTATACCAAATTTAGTAAAATTCCTGTACCCCTTTTTAGTTCTCTATCAAAGATTTGAGGATAAATATATTGCTGCTATAATAACACAAGATTTTATTTGCTGTAAAACTGCTAAGGTACAATCACTTCCCTATCCCGAATTTATGGTTCCAAGATATTCCTGGATAATGTCCTGGAGCACTTTCTCCGCCTGGCGTCGCTCCTCGGAGTATTCCTCCAAAGCCAACTCCATGCACTGAACGCTATTAACGTGAGCATCCTGCACCGGATCTGTTTCAGAGCTGAGCTCCTGGAGAGTCTGTGCCGCTGGTTGGAGTACTTCGAGAGCATCCTTCACGCCCTTGAGGCACTCATTGGGTTCAAGGTTAGGACACCTCTCAGTAGCAAAGATCAGCTCCCGGATAGGGTTCGGTAGGTCATTCAGGGACACTCCCAAGTCCAAATTTAATAGGATTAAGAGCCAAGTAAATTCACTGGCACACTGACTCAACTGGAGGCCGTAGCGCTCGTTAACCTCTTCGGTTATCTGCAAAGCTTTCTGAGTACGTTGACCAGAAGTGGACTCTGCCACCTGCACAATTTGATTTGTCTTCCAGATCTTCCACTCGTTTTGTTGTTTCAAAAGACCAAAGACTTCTGCCTGCTGCGTTTGGAGATCGCTGAATGTTCCATCCAGTGGCCAAGTAATGAGCAAGCCAGTCAGAGTTGCCAGAGCTTCCTGCAGAGCCTGTCTCCTTTTCTTCTTGGTAGTGTTTGGCAGATCGGACAGTATCTTCCTTACCGCACTATTCAGTTTCCCTTGAGTTCTGCGATTGCTTGGACATTATTGTTCTGCAGGTCATCGATTTGTGGCAGGATCAAAGGATTTCTTTCTTCCACATTACTGATGGCCGTTGTAGTTTCTTCTGACCAAGTACAACCAAGGATCAGAAGGAAAACCAGCCCAACACCTAGCTGCATTTTTCCTACTTATTCTCAGAGGTTTTCTACCGTTCTGGTTCAAGTTCAGATAGTATCTGATAGATACTTCTGTGGAAAGTTAAATATGCAACCAGCTTGTGACAACATTTGTTCAGCCGCTGGTCAGCCAACACGTGTGTCTATTTTATATCGGAGATATATTACAATGTACATTTAAAAGTGAGTTTTAGTTTATAGATTTAATAAAATTTAGTGGGTTTAATTAAATTCAGTGACCCTTAAGTTAATGTTGAACCTTGCACACTTTTAGCATTGCTTTTATTTTACTTTTAGTCTGACTTTGAACTCACATCCGAGTCGCTTTTTTCCAATCGATAACTAAAAAATCTCCCCTTCAATCAAATCCATCACGTAATTAAACTAAAGACGTGATATTAACTCGCTATCCTGGCCAAATCGCACACATGGCCACATTGGTAACTTTAAAGCCAAGAGACTGAGGTTCATGGAGCCGGAGGTAAGGAAACTTCTCGGGCTAAGCCAGACCAAGACCAAGAGCAAGACCAGCCTGGCCAAAAATTCCACACCTTGGGCGAAAGACGTGACTTGATTTTTCACTGGCTTGATTATGCCCGCTCAACGAGCTTTTCCTTTTCCATTCTGTGGCTGCTATGTAGGTTCACTCGAGGGGCAAGTGCCAGTGCGGCGGGGTGGCTGAGTGAGTCCTGCCTCGAATTTGGGCAATTAAGTCCGGCCACGGATGCGGTCGAATTTTTTTTCCCCTCTCGTTTCTTTTTGGCCTTCCAATTGGCTTTGTCCCTGGCACGGACGAGCATCTAAATGGCTTAGATTTGTCAATTCGTGTTAAGGCCAATGCGGTAGTTTTTCAATGCCTCGGGTCCTTTATTGGACCCACTGGACATGGAGAACTTAATTAGTTGGGAACGAACAGGAGGTTAGAGAACTTTAATGGATAGTTGTACTAGACTTGTTCTTTATCTTAGTTTTAGATGTCTCTTTGTTCTTGGAACTATACCATAATGTTTAAGATATTGTAGATATTGAATTTACTTACCATACAGCCGAATAATGCCATCCGTTTCGCCTCTGGGATTCTTGGCCACACATTTGTAGATGCCATCATCGCCACTACCCACATTGATGATGGTCAACTTCATATGGGTCTTGTACGCTGGCAGCCCGATGCTTGCTTCAACTCTGTAAATAAAATATGAAATATTTCCACGTACTTAAGTATATATTCTAAACAATACATCTTAGTAACTTTATAGTTAGTTGACAACTTACTTGTACTTGTGCGAATCGTGAATAATTGGTCCCTCGCCACGTGTCCAATAGTTGAGGGATGTGGGATGTGCCTCAGTGAAGCATTCGATGGTAACATTGAAACCTTCTGGAGCGCCAACCAATTGATGGGGTATCAACAGCATTGGAGGAACTAGAATTACAATTACAATCATCACTTACTATATATATTTATGCAATCCAATCACTTTCATTTGGCAATGGTAAAACAACCTTTCACTACTTTTTGTAATCAAAAAAGTTCAGCTCAACGAATTCATAAACTCTGCTTGAAGCTAAACTTATGGTCAAGTTTTCTATAATTCATTTGACGTCTTTAGAACTTATTTTTGCCCACTTTTTGTTATTGGCAAACAACAAAGTTTTCAAGACCAAATTATGCATGCATATATTTCATATAGATCTTTACGGACTGTTTTTGGGTTTATGCAAATGCCTTGATTTAAGCAGGCAATTTTTCCTCGGTCTGCCACTGATTTTCATTTAAATTGCAAGTCGAGACGAGCCACTACGAGAAAGTTCTTGAGCCTCGCAAAAAAATGAAATGGGAAGCGAAAAAACCACTATTTCTTTTCAACGAAATCTTATGAATAGCATTATTTGAGATTTTTTCTTATCTTGTGCACCTGCCTGCACCTTTGCAATTATGTGCGAGGACATCCATGGAAAATCAACCTTTGCCACCTCAAAAAGAAGCAAAAACACAAAAAAGTCCCACACTTCAGGCGCATTTGGCGCGCATTTTTAATTAAGATATTAAATGGGGAAATGTCGCAGAGAACGGGGGACTAATGAACACTCGGCACTACGTCTCTCCATAGTTATTGTCAGTCGTCGAGATCCTTCAGCATCTCCATCATCATTAAGGAGCACAATGGTTATCCTTCGGCGGGAGTGATGATGCTTTTGCCTTGTCATTTGCCCGCCTGTTTTACCTTTTGTTGATTTATGTCCACCACGAGTTGGCAATTAAGCTGAAGGGTTGACAAAAAAAATATAATGGTTGAGAGACAGAGAGGAGGAGGTCCAATTGAATTTTTAATCAGCTCGGACACAAATTAGCGTCAGGTTTGTCGGCCTTCTTTCGCTCATTTTTTCGGTGCATTTCCATGGCTCTTTTGTTGTTTTTTTGATGAGGTGTTCACCGTCATTAAGGTTGGGAATAATCCTCTTAATCAAAGCAAGCTTAAGTGTGATGAAGTGGGCAGCTTAATTAGCCTGTCAGCGAGTCGGGTCAAGTGAGGCGAGGAGATCACAAATCCAATTTGCTGCCTTTACCCAAAGATTTTTCAGTCTAGCGATAATATTTTGATTGGCAGATTCCCCAGCATAAGCAAGGACATTTTTCTTTGATACTTATACACACAACCCCGAACAATTTGTTAAAACAACTGTGACAGCTTGCATATGTCCTTTTAGCCAGGATTCTTATGTATGTATATATATGTAAGTATATGGTACGTACAGTCGCATACATTTATTTTTGTGGCGTGCGCTGCCTAACAAGCAGGAAGCAACAAATTCAGTTTCTGTTTCCGGCTCCAAGGAGAGCGCTTCTTATGTGTATTTCTGACTGCATACTGATTTGTTGCCTTTGTGCAACCGAAACCGAAACAGAAACAGGAATGGAGTCGGAAAAGTTCCCCGGCAAAGGGCAACATGTGCTGCAAACGACCCTTAACCTGTGTGCCACTCCTTGTAGGAAAAACCAGAAACCTTACTCATTTCGTATGCAGCACAGATATTCTATATTGATATAATTTCTGTTGATTTTTCCCCAGACAACTTTTGAGCGGAGCTTAAGCGAAAGTCAAGTAGAAATCACCTTGAAGTTGTCGTCTCTCCCATTTCCATTCATTTTAATTGCCCGCACAAAAGCAGTGGCAAGTGAAAAGCGCCAGGACTCGAGTGGCGCGGCCGGCAGGACAAACATTTGCCAGGACTAACAGCTTCCTCCACTCCTTTCGGACACTGATTTAAATTACAATTGAGTGGCGACTATATTGGCGAAGGTAGCCAGGCAGGATCCAAGCTGTTAAGTGCCACAAGGACTCGCGTTGAGTCAACAATAATTTAACACGGCGGGTGGGAAGGTAGAGTGCGCCGGACCGTACCGGAGACATTGAGTGACATTCTTTTCTTCTATTGAAAAGTGCAGAAGAAAAAAGGCAAGGTGCCCCCCCCCAACTGCCAGTGTAAACAACTTGAAAATTAGCCGTTAATGAAGCCTCGTTAAGGGGTTGAAGAAGAAAGGACGAAGCCGAGTGGATTACTGTCCATTGATTGCACTGCCGGCAGGACGACAATCCTGGGACAATATTTGTGGAATTAGTGAGTCGCAATGGGGATGATGGGATTGACTTGATTGTCTGAACATTACACGACAGAAACCGGTGTGCTTTCTCCGACAATTGTCGATTGTTATGGCTATCAATGGATGTGGATGGCCACCTGGTGTGCAGTACTTGAAAGGGATCAACGTTTAAAAAATCATTCCTGTCTGGCCAATCAGTGATTGTAATAGCCATTAGGGAATCGAATTTGGCTATGCATGATAGTCTTTGACTTTAAAGTGGGTTTCATAGTTTAAAATTGATATCATCTTTGTTTAACTTAGTATGTCAGTTTATGTATCCATTGAGAGATGATTACAAATAGTTGTAATATTTACTTGCGATTGCAATTTCCTTTTAAACCACGAAAATCTTGACCCCTTGTGGGTTTTACCCATTCCATTTCCACAGAATCCGCACACACATTGAACAATTTCATTTTTTTATGGAGGCCTTCTGCCGCAATCAAGGTATTTTCGACTGTTCTGTTTGCAGTTCCATTTTTTTCTATCCTCCTTTTTTTGCGAAAGCCCCCGCACGAGTGTAATTTGTATTGCACGTTTTACAGGATACTGGACAGGGGTTAGCAACTGCCAACAGGGACCGGTGTCCAGTTCGGTTTACTGCAGGGGAGGAAGGATTGCAGGATTGCACGGATTGCAGGGATTGCTGGATAGTGACCGAGGTTTGTTTGGCGAATGTCGTGTACAAAACAAAAATAGATTTATACTTGCGGCATTTTTAAGTGACAGCAAACGAGCAAATTTCTGTGACGACCAACCAAACAAACCGCCCAACCTTCCAGCCGCCCATTTCCGCTGGCATGACAGCACTTGACAGCACATGTGATGTGTCTGTCGCCTGTAATAAATCTTGAAAAAGTGCACAACAGCCAACGCAGTGATTTGATTCCATCCTCCACTCTTTTTTTTGTATACCAAGCTGTTTTGGTGTAAGCCACAAGCTGCAGGAGCTACAAGTGTGTTTCCGATTGCAAAAGGTCGCCACAGTGGGTGTCCTTTGTGGGGCTTTCGCGAGTTTTTTTTTTTATCCCCACTGGACAGGACTCGCATCAATTTAAGCTTGAGCTCGTGGAAAATATGGATTGCTATAAGGATGGATTTCAGCAAAGATCGATTCAGGGTCCAACAATAGTTCTCAGCTTAACTCTGAACAATTTTAATGCTTTTCGAAGTAAAAGAAATCTGTATGTTAAATTTCAAACTACTTTTTTGTAGTATTTTTTAGCCTCAGTAAGTTTAATCCAATAACACGCAGAAAGCGTTTCCCGAGTGTTCGACTTTAATCCGCGGCTTCCAATAGAACTAACTATGAGTGGCAGCGAATTACGAAAAGTCTACAAAATAAAAGCAAACTTTAAGCTAGACAAATTCAACGGATAAACAAAATATCCAGTCTGCACGTAACAGCAAATAAACTGAAACACCACCGAATGGAACAACAAAAAAAATGGAAAACAACAGAAATGGTATTTAGATTTTAGTCAAGCTTTACGGACACGTTATCGAACGGTTAACAAAACTGTTAACGTGGCTGACAACGGGGGTGTCACTTTATCATTTTCTGGTACATCTGGGGAAAGGATACTTACAGTCCACACTGACTTTGATGCGCTTGGAAACCGTGGGGGGCACTCCGTTGGAGGCGATGCACAGATAGGCGCCCATGTCCAGACGCGAGATGCGAGTGATCTCCAGGGTGTCGCCCTCCCACTCGTTCACTGCGTGGAGATTGATCGACAAGGACGAAGTTAAATGATTGATGCACTGCATCCAGCTGACAATCGCACTTACCTATGTGATTCTTATTGATGGCTATGCGGGAGTTATCATCCCGTTTCCATTTGATAATGGGGCGAGGACTGCCACTGGCCCGACACCTCAGCGATATGTTGGCGCCCTCCCGGACAATCACATCGCTGGAGCTCAGCGAATCGTCAATGTTCGGGGGAACTGTGGAAAAGCGGAAAATTGGAAAATCGGCGAGAAGAGTGACAGCACTAGACTACAGAATTTAATATTTAAAATAACCGCAGGACATGAATATATATTACAAGAGGGCACTTAATCTCTAATGTAGTTTTGTAGGTTTCATGATTTTATATTATTATTTAACACAGAACTACTCGATGTTGGCTAGTGTAATCATCAATATCCGCTAAACTGTTGCACACCGATAATCCTCTTAAATAGATGAAGTCAGCAACCATTTAAAATTGAACTCTGCTCTTGTATTTATGCATGATAAATATTTGGCCCCACCCAAACATGGCAAACTCTCTAGTTTGGCAACAGGAAATTGCTTTTATATGAGCCCAACAGTTGCCGAGCAATTATTTTTGAATTTCTCATTATTCGATCAAATTGAAGAGCAATTTATGGGATATATATGTTAGGTGCATCTATGGCATGTGCTTGCACTTTTATTTTCAATTTAATTTGGAAAAACCTATTATAGCCTTGCTCATTCAATTATAATCGGTCAAAAAACAGGTGTTTATTTTTATGCTAACCCAATTAGCTGGGGATGTGCTTTCGTGCAGCGAGCCAGTTTGGTTAAAATTTATTAGATACAATTTTGAGTGAGGCATATATGCATGTATATAGTGGTAACTTCTATGGTTTTTGGTTTGGGCCTAAAAATACATTTGATTGTCTGCATATAATTTCGTTTCTTTTTCTCACATTTTTTAATTAAAAAGCACTCGCACTCGCTCCCATTCGCATGCATTTTTAATAATTTGTTTGTTGTTTGCCCAGGCAGGGAAAATAATTTCGCCTGGCCAAAGGATTCACTGAACTGTGCTCCGTTTCGGGCTCCGGCCCGGCCTCGCGTTCTCTGGACTCCACTTTGCTGTTGGCCTTCTCCTTTTCGTATTGTTTTTGCCATGTTTGTCCGCCGCTTTAAGGCACATAAATTATTTTTTAATTCACCGCGTATTTGCACAGGATTTTCGTGAGCCCCGTCGAGAATCCCTCGGAGTACTTCGTCCTTATTAGGCTTCCCCATCCCATCCCCACCCACAAATATGGCCTGAACTTACCCACTACGTTGAGGTAGCCAAACTGCGTTTTGGCCGTCACCGTGTTGATCTGGCACATATACCTCCCCCTGTCCTCCTCGTGCACGTTGTTTATATGAAGATACCAGGTGCGATGGCGGTCGTGCTTGTCGTGCGTGACACTAATGCGAGGATTGCGCGTGATCACGTGATTGTGAACGGTCAAAATGGCGGATTGCTCAAAGTGCATCCAGGCGACCTGAAAAGGGAAATATCCTTTAACTTATTGTATTTATATTTTAAACATAACAAAATAAAGTTTAAATATTATATTTAAAGGCGTAAGGAGCCATCTTACAATGAGATTAAAACAGAAAGGAAACTAGAATCGGGAAGCCGAACTTTGTAATACACTTGCAGTTTGCACTTAGATCAGAGGGGTAATATTCATCATAACCCAGCCAAAAATGCATTAATTTTAATTCGGGAAGCTTTTCTTTGTTAGTTTTTATTCGGTTTATAAATCTATATACTCAATTTTTAATTTTAAGGGTGTAACCCCGTATAAAATTGTACAAATTTTTTAAAAATTCAATTTTATCCGAACAAAGCTAGATCGACTCGCCTGTTGATGCTGATCAAGAATATATATGATTTATAGGGTCGGAGAAAACTTTCACTTGATTGGACCAATCGGAACAATATTATAATACCCTGGAAAGGCTCAAAAATAAAACAGGAAACAGCTAACGTTGCTGTCATAAGTCTGACAAAATGTATTTATAAAATGAAAAAAAATAAAAGAAATTAGAAAGTTTATAAATATTATATCCTCTTTGCAATTAAAGATCGATAAAAATGACATTTAATGAGCACCAAGAGCTGAAAAAGACAGTACAGATATACCCCATTCAGATAGTTTAATATCTAATACCTATATCTCAATTAAATATCCCTAATATCAATTTTATTTTGTTTAGGAAGCCCTGAAGAACAATTTAATAAATCATATACATATGTAAATAAATGTAAGCTAATCAGCTTCTAAAGTACTGTTTGTGCTTGTAAAAACACTCTAATTGCTTTTACTTCGTAAGCATTTTGTTCAGCCTCTGACTACTATTTAGTAACCTTTCAGACATGGCTGATACTTTAAAAAAACCAGGACTTTTTAATAACATCCTCGTAGAGTCGCTCCTTCTTTTATTTTGTGTCACTGGCACACACACACGTAGTATATGGAACACCCAGCAATTTCACAGCTCAGCATCAGCAGTCAAAATGGAGGAGAAGGCGAAAAAAAAGTGTTTGGAAAATGGCAGAGAGCGGAAGCGAGAAAATTGCATCATAGTGTCGCATATAAAAATAAACGCAACCGGTTACAAGTTCCTCTGATGTTCAAAAAAGGAAAAGGACCTGCAGTCCTGTGTGTGTGCGGTGAAAGCTATGAATTACATGAGGCCAATATAGGGGGGAGAGGAGGGGAAAGCCTTACTTACAGACCAGCTACTTAAACATGCCATCCGAGACTAAAGCTAAACCAGGTCTCTCGTTGCTCTACCTTTGGCCCAGAGATTCCCAGGACACACTTGCATGCGTCGCACGTCCACGAAGGACGAAAGGGTAGGGGAGGAGCCTTGCCTTGCTGCACTTCCTCTTGTTGCTCTCATTTACACCTCAATTTGATTCTATTTCCTGCATTCCGGCAGTCTATTGGATGGGTTTTCGGAGCCGGGGCCGCTAACAAGACCTGCGATGATGGCCACTTCAGCTCGGAATCTAGCACTTTGAGTGCTCCCTAATGATGCCCCAGTCGGTGGCAGTAGTTTAATCCGCCTTTGCATTTGATAATGATCTGCTTTAAGCCCGACTTTCGATGGCTCTCTGCCATCAAGAGTCCCAAACAGAAAAGACTGAATGCCTGATTTTAAGGATGCAGTGCAACCCGCGCGGTTCGGTAATTAATTAGTTGACTTATGGTTCGCCGCGGTGCCGGCTCATTTAGCATGCATGCCCAGTCTAGTCTTTTTTTATGCCAAGTAATCAAATCATTAGCACTCATTACAAGCTGCTTAATTAATTAATCATTTCACGTTCCCTTTGCTTTTGCAATCTTTTCTGCCCTATCGCTCTCCTTTCTCTATTTTAATTTCCCTTTGCCGCCAAAAGGGAGCAGCTAATGATGCATAAAAACTAAATGAGGAGCACGATGTCAGCACTTTTCAGGGAAGTCTCACTTGGCATTAAATGGCCATAAAAATAGGGTATGTTTGGGGTGATTTTTGGAGGCTAAGGAGTGTAAACTTGAAGGTTTAACAAAGTGGGATCATAAACCCTTTGATAACAAGATTCTTTTTAAGAGAGCGTTAATCCTTATGCTATATAGTATAGTATAATATATATCTTTTTCTTACCTTGTAAGATCCCAGATTTTTAACGGAGCATCCCAGTTTAACGTTACGTCCAGCAGGTACAGTTACATTTTCGATGTATTCGGTAAATTCGGGTTCTTCGACAACAGCTAGAAAAAGAAAAACAAGAGAAAAACCAAAACAATACAAATAGTGAGATGAAGTGGAATTTATTTTAATTTAGTGCATAAAATATTTATACAGTTTTATTCATATTTGACTTAGTTCTATGTCAATATGCCAGCCATGAATTTGCATAATCAAATAAAGCGTAAAAATCAATTATGCGCACAGAATTAATTGTGAAAATGTTCGTGGACCCTGCGCCACAAAAAATTGCTTTCGGGGGTGCAAAATAATTATTTCATTGATTTCTGCATGGACTCATTATTGCTGATGCTTTCCCAGGGCCATGCCGGAGGGGGAAAATCGGAGAACAACAAATATAATTAAACACATGTTCGCATACCGAATTTCCACGCTTCAATATTTGCCTGCAACATCAACAAGTTAAACTCGGGTTTTTCCCCCCAGCTCTCGATGTGGAAATGCAACAGAATTCATTAAACTTTTAATGACCGAACCTCTGTCCTGTGAAAATGCATTTAAATTGTGGCACGAAGGCAACTGTGAAAACTCCGAACAGCATTTTTTTATTATTCAGACAAATATTGATACTCCGTCGGGGACAAAAAGGGGGGCGGTGACTTAGCTTTATTCATTTAGCTGCTAATTTAGTTGAGTCAAGCAAATATTTAATATAGATTTTCAATTCATGTTTGCTTTGAGCTTGATAGCCTCACGGAAATGCTTTGGCAATTCAATTAAACTGTTTGAGTTGCAATTATTTAATCGCATTCCTGAAAAGGCAACAATTATGCATAACAAATCACACAATTTCAATAAAGTCAACATGCGTTCAAGCAGTCAAAGAATTTTGTATAAGCATTGCAACCATGTATGCAAATCGCACAGTACTTGAAGTACTACATAACAGCTATTAACAATTAAGGGAAATCAAAATTTATTGATTTTTTTAAAGCCTATAGTTCAGTTTTTAAAAGTTAATGATACCTTGTTTTCTCAATAGGTATGAAGGCATACTCCCATTAATTTATAATAAGTCAAACTTACATATTTTTAATAATCTTTCATATTACTTTTTTCCGAAACTGTTTGTATGTAAACCATTTCCAACTTTACAATTTATTAAATCATAAATATAAAAGCTCAATATATATATAAGGTTACATAAACGGAAACATTAAATGCAACATATTCACTTTTGTATTTTAGTTAAGGTAATGTGTTCAGTTGATATCTGATCAGATTTATTGATTCATTTCGATTCGTATGTATTTGCTCTATTGAAGTGCCAATTTTAATTACAATTTATGATTAGCTCGTTTCTATTTGGGCAACAAAATTGCACGTTTCTGAAATGATTTCAAACCCGGCATCGCATCGCGTTTGGCTCTAGCTTAATTAGCTATTTATAATGTCCGTGTGCCTGCCAGACATCTGTGTATATGCTGGACAAACATATAGAGTTACACATTTGCCGAATTGAAATGTGCACAAGTCAATACGATTCGGTTGACTCGACGTAACCATGGGCATGCAAACAATGTGACCCAGCTCCCTCGGCCTTTGGGGCCGTTTTTCACAGCCCCACCCTCACACCAGGCAGCTGCTGGCCTAACTAATTATGAAACAATAACACAAGAGTTGCATAAATTTAGACGAAAGTTACCATCCTTTTGTTTTTCCCATTGCAAAGTGCACTGAGATTAAATAAACTTACAATTACAATAAGATCTTGTTTAGAAACAGTTAAGAGTAAAAAAGAAATTTGAAGATTTAGAACTACTCAATCTTAGTTTAATGAAATGTTTTCGATTTCATACCTAATCATTAATTTTTGTATTAGTTGATTTTATTTATTAACTTATGGATTCTTTGATTTATATAAGAAAGAAAGGAAACTAATTTCGGGAAGTACAAGATTAAATTCCCTTATACTTTTTAAGTGAATTATAAGATTAAATAGGAAATTTGATATTTGAATTGAATATTTATCTACAATTATTTCGACAAATGAAGGTTTAAACAACGTATAACTTTGTCAAAGAAAGCATTCATTTCAAATCGGAAAGCTTTCTTATGTTAATTTTCATTACGTTAATAAATCTGCATACTCAATTTAAAATATTCGAAAAATACAATTTTTTCACATGTTTGAAATTTTAACGATGTAACCCCTTGTCATTTTTTGAAAAACATTTAAAAATGTTTGAATAGGTATTTTTTGACCGGTCATGCCTACATCGACTCGGCTGTTGATGCTGATCAAGAATCTATGTGATTTATAGGGTCGCAAATGACTTCTTCGCTGCCTTCAAACCTCCTGAATAAACTTATAGTACCCTTCATGGGTATTAATACAAAAATGAATTTTTAGTTTTATCATATATGCATTATATTATAAGTGTTTATCTGAAGCATCAGAATGTAGCTTATCGGCACCCAAGTGGTCCTGATCCTTTCGCTCACTACGTTCTTCCGATTTTTAGGTTTACATTTTTGTTAGGTTTACCTTTCTTTATAACTCATAATGTACCTTAGCTACATGTGGCTACCTGTTATTGTTTCTTCCTGTGTGTGATCATTGCATTGGATAGTGACAAAAAAGAGATGCAAAGTGCAAACACTGTTGCCCCTTGCTGCAAGTCGAGCGTTCAACGTTTACGCAATGGCACCAGGAGCGGGGAAATGCTCTGCATAATCATGGGATTTCATCCAGCTGCAATTTTCGCGCCAGAGCGCGTGTCTGCATATAAATTTTGTTGAGGTCTCAGCCATCCACTGCCACGCCCCCACGCCTCCCAAAGTCCACACAGGCACGCCCCCCAGGGGAGGGGCAGCAAAAAACAACAGAATGAATGAGAAGCTTGATAGAGATGACAGTTTTCCAAAAAGCGAATTAGGGATGATTAAAATTCAAGTAATAGACTTTTTATAAATCACTTTGAAATATATTTATAAGAGTTTATTAATAATAATCTTATAGTTTTACTCTCCCAAAAGGCAGAAGAATATGAACAATAAATCATTTATAATTTGCTTTAAATGATACTAGACAATTTTATTAGTTGGCTTCTTGGTCAGAGAATACTATTTAAATTAGTCTGATGATGATCTTTCCTTCTCTTGTACTCTTTAAATACTTGTAATAACAAAACTTTAACTAAATATACATAAACGAAGCCCAAACAATGCATCCATGCATGCAAATATTACTGCTGTCTTCAAGTAAATATTCAACACTTAATTGAAGTTGATATTGCAATTTTGCTGGCACTGTCAAGGTGCTCGACTCATGAATAAATTGACAGCTCACAATGCATAAAACACGCTGGCTATGATGCTCGTATTGGCCATTTGGCTGGGTTGGGCGGATTGCAGCAGGGAACCCGGGGGATGCAAGGATGCAGGACGCATGATGCAGGATGCAGGACGCAGGATGCAGGATGGAGCTGAGTTTGAGTTGAGGATGCGGATGATGCGGTGGATGTCGCCTGTTGCGACATAAATCGCGTTGCCTGAATGAATTTTGCGCACAGTTGAGCGGCTATATTGCTGTTGTTTTTGCCGCTGCACCTGAGAACAATGACAGCCGGCATTTTCATGGGTTGCCACGAGTTGAGTGGCAGATTGGAGGTGGAGGTGGGGCGTGTTAACCCCGAGGCTCTGTCACCGTTCTGGATTTCTTTTCACCATCACACGGAAATGTGTTTATACTTGGAGAAATTTCAATTCATTTTATGAATAATGACTATAGGATTTTATTTACCAATACCTCAAATATTACACTAGATATCATACAAGAGAATGAAGAAATATGTAGCTACAATATTGTTAATAAAACTTTATTTTCTATGCAATTAAGGTTATAGAATTCCCTTTCAAAGGCTTCGTTTTCGTAGTCAGGTATTGCATTTATTGCATTTAAATTCAATTGAGTTCAATTCTAGTTTGACACAACAATGCATAAATAATAAAAACAAAATCATATTCTTATTTATAATTTATTTTTAAAAGTTTAGAAAAGGATTCTGTGAATTTCCCCAAGTGTATTACAGTATTTATCGGGGTTGCTCTTGCTCTGACTCCTGCGGCTCCTCAATTTTTGGCATAAAGCCGTGTATCACTAATGCCCCGCGGAGTCCGTTTGGCCATTCCTCTTTTCCCTTCAAAATGCCTGCGTTTGCCCTTCCTTTCCGCTATTTGTCAGTGCAAATATGATTGGCTTTGGGGGCATGGGGACGACTACGAGACCAAAATATCTGTGTGCTATTGAGCATTTTGAGAGGCCAGGCAAGAGGCAATCGCGACTAGAGATAGAGTGCAAATGGAGTATTTACACAGCCCTACACAATTGTGTTCATAGTGGGTTATTGGTAACCTTGAATCTTAAAGTAGAGCTGGAGGAAAAGAAACAAACCTACCTAAAATATCCTAATAAAATATCTCCTATATGTTCATTTTTCTACCTCGCTCAAAACTTGTAAATGAGTCATTTCCTACCCCATAAATCATATACATATATTCTTGATCAGCATTAAAAGGAGAGTCGATCTAGCTATATTTTAAAGAAAAATAATTTATTCGATTTTTTCAAAAAAAGATAAGGGGTTACATAGTCAAAATTTTCGAAAATTGTGAAAAAATTGAGGTTTTAAACAGAGTATGCAGATTTGTTAACCTATTAAAAACTAACATAGGAAAGCTTTTCGAATTAAAATTATTGCATTTTTGGCTTAGTTATGAGATTTTAAAATTTTATTTATAAAAGAAATTGTCATATAAAAAATAGACAACGAATTGTATTCAAATTTCGGTCATTTTAAGTTTTTAAATTTTAAATTGACTATGCAGATTTGTTAACCAAATAAAAACTAACATAAATCGAAGAAAATTATATATCCCTCTTTATTTGGTTGATTTATGCATGAAACAATATTCAAATGAATAGCTATATATCATTAAAAACGATTTATAGAATTAGATATTTTAAAAGGAAGTATAAATGATGCATATATTATAATAATTTTAAGAATTTTAAGGAATACATTAGCGATTTTCTGTCACTCTTAACTTAAATTGTTAACTTGTATAAAAGTGTATGTCCAATTACTGTAGCTCAATATTCATTTAGATGAAAAATGCGAGATACTCACTGTTTAAATTCGAGGTCGGCACATTGGCCACGCCGCCGGCAACAATCACGCCATTGCTTCCGACCACCGTGTTAGCGGTGCCGCTGCCAACCACAGCTCCTCCGCCAGCTCCTGCTCCTGCTCCTGTTCCCGTTCCCGCTCCCGGACCACCGAAACCCGCCAACACTGTCTTGGAGCCGGACGGATGCTTGCCCCCGGCGATGCCTCCGCCTCCGATGCCCCGCTGCCGTTGAGTATCTGCGGCAGGATGATCTTGTTGGTGGAGTCCCCCGCTGTTGCCACGAGCACGAGGAGGGCCCCAATTAGATGCCAGGACGGGGGCAACATCAACTTGCCGTTGCGGTCGACTCAGCCACAGCCAGGAGCCCCAAGGATGGCCTCGTCTCCTGGCCAAAGTGCATCCTCCCGGATCTGGTTCCTCGCTTTTAGCCGCCCCTCTGTCGCTCTAGTTTTTTCGACCGCCTCGAGGTTTGTTTGCTTTACAGCTTTCACTCGGCGCTTTTCACACGGCTTTGTTATCGGAGTTTTCCGCTGATGGCATTTACGAAAATGTTCATATTTGTTTTTAGCGTTTCTTTTTTTCGGGGATTATTTCCGTAGGGCAATCATTTGAGATATTCTGTGCCAATGTGGTAAATGCATTTTATGAAAGGCTGGTAAATATTGATAAGTTTGAGTTTGGTTTTTATCTCAGCAGTGGTTTTGCATAAGAATTTTTGGAAATGGTTGGTGATATTTTGATATATTGGTGATATTTTTAAAAATCCTTAAAGATTAAACTGGTATTGTTTTGGAAATCATGGTTTTGTGAATTTTAAACATATTGAAACCGTTTTAATCAGTATTTACTTCTTACATGTACAAAACTCTTATTATAACAAGATAAATAATATAAAAATAAAGCTAACAAATTACTTTATTTAATAAAATCTATAAGATAAAGTTACCTAAAAACTTCTTAAGGCCCTTGACTAGTTTTTCCCCACTTTCCATTCGTAGTGATACATTTTCCATCTGCCAGCGAGTAAAAAAAGGGATAGGAAAAACTGCCTTAATTCTCGAGTTTTCCATTTGACTTTGGTGCCCATAAATTTGCTTTCAATGCACTGCATTTCCCCGTTTTCCATTTCCCCCAACAATTGTTTGCCGTCTAGTAACTTTCAACGCGTGCACACAGATGCCATGCAGATTTGCTGGGGAATTCAATAAAGTTTGGCAAAATATTATGCCACAGAGCCGCATGCCACGCCCCTTGCGTAGGCGGTAGCACGTGTTGCAGGAAAGTTTAAGCCACTAGAAAGGAAAGGAATACCCGAAAAGTCATAAAGATTTGCCTCGAAACCAGGAACTCGAGCGCCCTTTGGCGGCCGGTTGATAAATGTCCCAGCATTATATAGTTTATCTTGAGACCGAATTAAAAGTCCGGGAAAGGCCCAACCGGATTCCATAAACATAAAAATCCCTTATCTAAAATGCTCTCAAAAATAAATGGCACTACAGTTGGCAAAATGTTTAAGGATAGGAGTTTCTACCACACATGTGCAGACAGCGAAGTTTATGCCAATTAATTTAAATGCTCTTTCCATTTGTTGTTTATCTTAAGTTTCGTCTTCTCTCATTTCTGACTTTATTTCATACTTTTGCAACTTTATTTTTTGTCAACGTTGTAATATCTTAAGTTTCTCTAGGAGAAGTAGATGTAACATTTTATGATTGGCATACAGTGACTCGAAAGATATAAGGAAATTCTGAATTTATTATTACTACTACCATATCTTTTCTTTTGTAGGTACTACAAGATAAAACTAAATTTAATTTAAAACAAGAAGACAATTTGAGATTTAAGATAGATAGATAGATATCTAAAGTTCTAGTCCAAAATAAATTGTTTCATATTTCCAAAACCTACTGTTCCTGGCTCTTTTTCGGTCCTGTTTCTTGGCCAAACCATCCAATGTGAAACTTTCCCTTGAACAATTTTTATTTTTTATGGCTTTTAAGCGTGTCGCCTTCAGCTTCAGCTTCAGTTTTTTTTGTGGGGTCCGCACGCAGCTTGGCAAACACACTCGCAAACGGAGGGACAAAACTTTTTCCCTTATGACTCGCTTATGAAATTAAGCAATTTCTGCCAGCATCCCAACTCACACATGATGAAGCTTTTTCGGCATAGACCAAAAACAGATTTACCATCAAAAACGAGAACAAGAACAAGAAGTCCAACAAATTTTATGCACTTTTTTATGAGTTTGGCAAAGTGTTTGTAATTAAATTAATAAATTGTTCGGAGGGAGCAACTTGTTCTGTATGTGCTTGTGTTTTTCCATTATTTTTATGCTAGGAAATTAAATTTTAATGAGGCTATTTAGTGTGTGTGTGTTTGCTTTTGGCTTGTCCTGTTTGTAAATGATAACTTTTGCCAAAAAAATTGGCTTATAACTGGAGCAACTTTAGAAATAATAAACAAGGTAGAAAAAGTATACTATGTGAAAGCTAAAAAACAGCTTTTCAATTTTGTACATTTCTAGTTATGCTAATTATAGAGATTTCAGTGGTCTGTGAAAGCAAACGATGACAATTTAATGTTTAGCTGAGCTTAAAATTATTTAAAAGGTATTGCGAAAAGCAAACAATAATAAGCCTTGACAGGCATCCCAGCTTAAGTGGAGTGGTCTATGGCCATCGGCGATTCCTTCGCCAAACACTGTCAGCTTTCACCTTTCACCTTTCCCTAAAATATCCGAAAATGGAATAGGAGGCGCGGAAAATGGCAGCTTAGTATATTTATTACCAAGTAAAACAAGGTCTTTTAAATGGAAACCAAGAGGTTTATTGTGCTTGCACATTTTGTGTTTAAGATATGAGTATAATTTTTATATGAATACAACTATGATTAAATTTTAAGACTTTCAAAAGAAATTGTATTATTATATTATAATTTTTTCGCTCAAAAAAGAAATTTTTTTTAATTTTTTTCAAAATTTAAAAATTTTTTAAGGGTTACATCATTAAAATGATCAAAAATTGCAAAATTTGAATTTCTGAAACTTAAAATGGACTAAAAGATTTATTAACCAATAAAAACTAGCTAAAAAGCTTTCCAAATTAAAATTAATGCTTTTTGACTTAGTTATGAATAGACATCGAATGGTGAAAAATTGTCATATAAAAATATTTTAAATAATACTCGATGATGCGAATATTTAAACTTTTTTGATCGATTTTCGGTTCAATATTATAATTCAATTCCAATAAGCTGTTAAGGTTAGTTTCCTTCTTGTTTTTAACTTAACTAAGTACTTGCAATTTAACATTAAGCAAATAAATAAATTGCATAATCATATTTGATAAAATTCGATACTTTTTAAATTCAAACACAAAATATGTTTATATTACAAAATGTATTTTAATTTACAATTTAATTCAACAAAACTATGCACAATTTGTAGTATAGAGCAAATATTTACTCAATTGATGCATCAGTAGTTTTTCACTTTTGATCACTAGCTCTGAAACACACCAATAATATCCATATTTTTGCCATCATCATCATCATCATCATCTATAGCTTCATATTTTCACAATTTTGTTTGCTTTCCTCTGCACAATTTGTAAAGTTGCTGCAGCAGACGACAAACCAAATCCAAACACACAGAAACAGAATAGAAAAAAAGGTTACAAAAGGGGATGGAAATAAATAGAGAGCCAATAAGCCCTGAACTGTTGGAGGACAAAAAAGTTTTGGAACAGCTGACAACATGGAGTTCCCATCGTCCACCCACTCACTCTGTTTGCTCTGCCAGAGCCTGAGTCCTGCCATTGATCTGCATCGATGCCTGAATGCAAAACAACCGCTCTGTGGTGCAGTGAAGACTGCTTAAGAGGGAAACCAGAGTGGCAGAGCATCACTTAAGCTTCATTGTATTTAAATTTATATTTTAAATTATTATTACCACTTTTATATGTATGGAAATGGATTTATAAAAGAATATATGAGTGAATGTATCTATATTTTTATAATAGATTTTAATTATTACATTGAGTTAAGAGAGCAAATGCTCTACTGTAGTATCACATATTTCAAGCTTCAATATTATGTGGGAATGGATTTATAAAAGAATGTGCGTGAGTAAATGAATCTATATTTTTATAATAGATTTTTAATTATTACATTGAGTTTAGAGATCAAATACTTTACAGTAGTATCACATATTTCAAGCTCGACTTGTTCAAAATTTTATCTTTTGAAATGCATCAAAAATAGTTAATATATCGTTACAATTTCACCCTTACTAAGCTAATTAATATTACCACTTCTATATAATATGGGAATGGATTTATAAAATAATGTGTGTGAGTAATGTATCTATATTTTTATAAAAATTCTAATATTACTTGAGTTTAGATCAAATGCTTTACTGTAGTATACATATTTCAAGCTCGACTTGTTCAAAATTTTATCTTTTGAATGCATCAAAAATAGTTACAATTCTGTTACAATTTCACCTTACTTAGCTCCACTGTACTCACACACACTCTCTCCGAGTTTCCACACTCCATTACATATGCAAGTTTCAAGCAGTCGGTCGCCCCTTTTCCCCTCCACTTCCCCTGCACTCCCCCGTCCCCACTTTCTATGGCTGCAGTGGGTTAATGTATTTTTAAGCTAAATTCTTTGTTTATATTTGCGTTGCTGTTTCGGTTGTGTTTGCCTGTTGTGCGTTGCTTGCTGCTGCAGTCTCCTTTATCAATCGCCACCGAAAACCCCTGCTGAACTATCCTTTTTCGTTAACTTCTTTTTTTGTGCCAGTTGTCCCAAAAGTGAACTCTGGTGGATTCATTTATTCGCTTATAAGTTTGTTTGCGATTTTTCCGAGATTGAGTAGTGTTGTCTCTGTGTGCGTGTTGGCACTGTTTGTTTACTTTTTGTTGGCATGAAATGTGCATTAGCAGAGTTAACTGTTAATTGTTTACCCATTTCGAGTGCCTGACAAGTGACGTCCGAACTTGTGTGTGTGTGTGTGTCTTCATTGTCCTTGTGGTTTAGCTTAAAATGGCTCTAGTTATTTGGAATTAGTTGGAAATCCTGACACCAAGGTGCATTACAGAAATTAAACTAATTTCAAATTCTTCTTCTGGAAAAATTGTATGTTACCTAGAACACAAATGCGATTGCCATTAATGGCTAACTATATAAATAATGAAAACAATAATGTTAGAAGTAAAGAATAATCAGAGATCTGGGCTGCACTCTATAAAATCAATATATATCACTTACTATTTCCAGAATATTTTAAAACAAAACCAAGCCTTTCGATCTCAAATTAGATGTGCGACCTTCTCTTTTGGTTTTAGAAATTATTTGAATTTGAATTTTCAAAATTTTAATCTAATACTGAAAAAATCTAGACTTAAATTTTATTTTTTTTTTTTTTTTCTTAACATTTAAAGAAAACATTTTATTGATCTATTGATACTATTTTTTTAGAGTATAATTAACAAAGCTTACAATTAATATAAAAGGCGATTCTGACGATGTGATAAATAAAAGTCTGCGATTATAAAATTAAATAATTTAAAGTAAAATAAACCGCTTTTAACCATTTTCATATAATTCAAGTAATTTACATTAAAAAAATGCCTAAAA